TACTATGATGGGGGTCTGAGGGCGAAGTCGTACTGCTGCTAGCTGGATGGGGTGTGACAGCAGTAAGGTGTTTCCCTTGGATGACCAGCAGTGCCAAGCTGATGCTGCCTTCTCAGTGGAAGGGGGGGTTAGAAAAGGTCGGCCCCAAAAATAACACACTCCACCACGCCCCACGGTCTGCCGGGCCGGCGGTGTTGGTTCACTTGTCGTTTCCTTTCGATCATCCGGCCCCAAAAATACAAAAATTCAAAATAATCATACTCAAAAGGCTGGGTGTGACAGGCCTCAAGCAGATGTCCGATGGGCTCTGCGGTCACACAAATCTCTTTCAGGTACCTTAAGAAGAAATAGCCTTCCACGGTGTGGGCAGCCGGGAAGTGTCAACCGCCCTCACAACTCTGTCAGCACCCAAGTTTCTTCTGACTGCTATCCTCCTCCTCCATCATTACCTTCTAATCTTCCTTCACGTCTCTTAATTAATGATGCTGCATCATCTTCAATTTCTCCTACCTCTGCAGCCTTCGACAACGATCTGAGTCCACAGAACAGCGTCCCTGGTCTCCTTAAACCACGCTCCAAATTACATATTGGAGCCTTCAATGTCCGCACCCTCCGTCAAATTGGCCAACAGGCTTCGTTGGCAAAGACTCTAGCAACTCGGGCATGGATGTGTGCTGTGTTTGTGAGACACGCATACAGGACCCAAGTGTGGTTATTCACCTGACCTCTCCTGACCAATCTGGTGAATCTGCAAAATTCACCCTTCGAGTTTCTGGAGATTCGATAGCTAGCTCTCGTGGTCTTGCAGGTGTAGGTATAGCATTAAGCACCAGGGCAGAAAACTCACTACTAGACTGGATCCCAGTTGATAGTCGCCTCTGCGCTATGAGGCTGAACGGCACAGTGAGAACTAAAAGGAATAGTGAGACTCGCCGTTGTCTCTTTGTAATCTCTGCTTACGCACCCACTGACTGTAGTTCGGATGAAGTGAAGGACGAGTTCTACCATAAACTGTCTAACCTCCTCTCGAAAGCCAAACGTTCGGACGTAGTGGTTGTTGCAGGTGACCTCAACGCACAGGTGGGTAGACTGAGTGAGGCAGAAAGGCACTTAGGTGGCACTTTCGGAATCCCAGCTGAACGTACAGATAACGGTGATCGCCTATTACAACTATGCTCAGATAACCGCCTATTTTTAGCCAGCACAAATTTCAGACATAAAGAAAGGCACTGTCTGACCTGGCGTCCACCGAGCTCGACTCAGCGATGGACACAGATAGACCACATTGCTATTAGTCATCGCTGGAGAGGATCGGTGGAAGACTGCCGCTCCTTCTGGAGTACGTGTTTGGACAGCGATCATGCGTTGGTCCGAGCACGTATATGCCTGCGTCTCAATGGACGTAGAAAAAATTTGGCAACAAAACCACTACGAGTTCTGCTGGACAACGAAAACACCAAAGCCGTGTTCAGTGAGAAGTTGGCTAGGCAGTTATCGGAACAAAAGACTGTCACTCATCCAGAAGAAGCTTGGTGCCATCTTCAGTCTACTGTAAAAGCAGCACTGGAGACTGTAGCCGACTCCAAGATAATGGCTAAAAAGAGCCAGTGGATATCAGCAGCTTCTTCCAAACTAATGGATGCACGTGAATGCATCCCTGCAGGCTCTGAGTACAATGAAGAGCGAGCGCAACTTAAAAATAAACTGACGAAAAGTCTGCGCAACGATCGTGAACAGTGGTGGGCAGCAAAGGCTAAAGAGATGGAAAAGGCAGCGGCGATCGGTAACAGTAGACAGTTATTTAGACTTATTAAGGAGACTGGGGGGAAATGGTCAACAACAGTTAGTGAGGTTATAGCGGAGAAGGACGGATCGGCGATTCACTCGCAGGGAAGGCGACTGGGACGATGGGCAGAACACTTTGAGGAACAGTTTAACTGGCCTCCAGCCACCATTGCGCTGCCCGCTATCCAGTCGGACCCTGAATGGGACATAGAGACAGGTCCCCCAACACTAGAAGAAGTTGAGAAAGCGGTAGGTAGCCTGAAACGGGGAAGGGCAGCAGGACCAGACGGACTACCTGCTGAGGTATACAAGAATGGTGGTAGAGTTCTCTTAGTCAGGCTAACGGAAGTGTTAGCCAGTATATGGGAATCAAATACGATCCCCTCCGACTGGTCTAAGTCACTGATCATCCCAGTCTTCAAGAAAGGCGAGAAGTCCTCTTGTGATAACCACAGAGGAATCAGCCTGACAAACATAGTGTCTAAGATCCTAAGTTCTATAATTCTCCGACGCCTGAGTGGAGCTCGGGAACAGCAAGCCCGAGAAAACCAGGCAGGCTTTAGACCTGGCCGTGGATGTATCGACCAAATATTCACACTGCGCCAGGTCCTGGAACATAGGCATGCTTACAGACGCCCGACAATAGCTGTATTTCTCGACCTGAAGGCGGCATTTGACTCCGTTGATCGAGAAGTCTTATGGCAGTGTCTGTCACTGAAAGGCGTGCCTAGTAAGTACATCACCTTATTGAAAGCTCTCTACTCGAACACTTGTGGGCATGTTAGAGCCTATGGTGAGTTGTCCAGGGAGCTATACTCATCAAGTGGTGTCCGTCAAGGATGCCCACTATCCCCATTCTTATTTAATTTTATCATAGATATTCTTATGGAGGTTTCCCTCTCGTCACCTAATTACAAAGACGTTGACCGATCACAGGTGAATTTTCCTTAGATCTAGAATATGCAGATGACATAGTCCTGTTAGGTGAAGACGCTGACAAGATGCAGAGTCTTCTGAACACTTTGAGTGGGAATTTGAGAATGTTTGGGATGCGATTTTCACCACCCAAATGCAAATTTTTGCTCCAGGACTGGTCTTCAGCGGTACCGCGGTTAACAATAGAGAGTGAAGTGGTTGAGTGTGTTGACCACTTCACTTACCTGGGAAGTAGGATCAACCCGGTGGGTTAGTTGCCGATGAGATTTCTGCACGGATACAAAAGGCTCGATTGGCTTTTGCCAATTTGCGCCACCTATGGCGCCGCCGTGATATTCGTTTGTCTATTAAGGGTCGCGTGTACTGCACAGCAGTCCGCTCTGTTCTACTGTATGGCTGTGAAACATGGCCATTGAAAGTGGAAGACATGAGAAGGTTACAGGTATTTGACCACCGTTGCCTTCGTAGTATAGGACGTATTCCGTGGTGTCACCATGTGAGTAATGCAGAAGTTAGGTGTAGAGTTTTAGGGAGAAGAGGTAAGTCAGTCGACGAGGTTGTGAACCTTCATCGACTGAGATGGTTGGGACACGTACTACGTATGCCTAGTCACCGATTGCCTCGTCACACAATGTTGGCTGAGGTGGGTTCAGGCTGGAAAAAGGCCCGAGGTGGCCAGACTAAAACATGGCACCAATGTATGAAGTCTCTGACTGTTGGTTTAAGCCATGTAGGACGATGCAGACTAGGTGGTTGGGGTCCACGGGACAAGAGGAACCAGTGGTTGGAGACCCTAGGTGATATGGCTCAGAACCGAAGTCAGTGGCGCAGATGTATACACACATTATCCTCATCTTAACAACGCTATACCGAATCTCACTATTTTGTCACTCCTCTTTCCTTTCTTCTCGTACTTTATATTTCTTTTGACTGCATTCACTTATCTTCATCCTTCACCTCACTACCTTTTTACTTGATGTGCTGATATGAGGTGTGGCAACTCGGACCGTTACGCAGTAATGCCTGGTCCTATGTTGATAATGATGATGATGATGCATAGGAAAACCATCATCAAAGAAATGTTAAACATTGCATTGGGTTCCATAAAATTAGGAATGATGTAAGAATACAGCATGATTATCAGATACTAAAATCAATAAAAGTTGTAAACAACCATATTAGTGAATAATAATGATTGATAATGTGTAACTCTGTTCAAAGAAGGGAGGAAAACTGTCTTTCTCTTTAGAGCTTGCAAATCTCCGTCGTTGATTGGACTGAATTGATCGACCATTATTAGCATATGAACTCCTAATGTACAAATGTCTCGATATTGCTGATATTTTCAAATTTGACATTTATGATAGATAATGGCCAGTGGTTGAAACCACAACGCACGTTTCGTCCTATATTAGATTCGTTAGCTGGATTTACACCTGTGTCCCAGTGAGTGGTGTTGTTCTCACTATGACCCAAACAACATAACTCCCTGGGAGTCAGGCACGTCCGGCTGGCGAGTCTCATATAGGATGAAACGTGTGAAGTAGATTCAACTGCTAGCCACTAGTTATCATTAATGTTCTTCTCATTCTTTATAAAGTTCTCTTTATTCACACATAGCTAACTATGTAAAAATCATATGACGCAGAAAATGTATTAGGATTATAACCATACAAGATAGTGATTGATGATTATAACGTCATACTAATACATGTAATTGTCATATGCTGTTCAATAGATTGAGAGAAATAGATTATTAGAGATTCCGATTGCTGATCAAATTTTTATTTCACCTTCAATCATCACCCAGTGTAAATACTAGTCTACCAAATCACGGCTGTCTCACTCAGATCGTCACAATGACAATCAATATGATGTACCCTCTCTCCAATCCACTTAGATTTGGATTGGGATAAGAAGTCCTGATTAGGCAGCAGCCAGTGTGAATACGAGCAATACGAGCAGAAATGCATCACAAATTCACATGGTAGTCGAATAAAACCCATGGTGATTAGCGTGAAATAAAAATTTGATCAGCAGTCGGACCTCATAGTTCATTTAGTAGAGTATCGGGCCAGAAATTTGGTGGTTGCTGTTCCAAATAAGATCACAGTCAGAACATTCATTTCTCCTTCAATCATCACCCACCCAGTATCAACACTAGTCTACTAAACCACGGTTACCTCAGATAGTCAAAACGACAAATGGAATCAAGTCAGCAGATATATTTATCACACACGCATACATATGATACAAGTAATGCATACGCATAAACTCACCACAGCACTGGCATTCAGTCGATTCATAATTGATGTGAGAATATGATAAGAATCATGTGATTCAATAACAATGAATCTGAGAAATAATCTAATCAGTAGGGGTTCAGTTAAACGACGTAAAAATAACTCCAAGTAGGCAGTGGCAGCAATCACTTCATCCATAGCACTCTATAAGTAAATAAAATAGAAATAGTTTATTTTATTTTAAGAAAGTACACTATATTAGAAAGAAAAAAAGAGAAAACAACTCACAGAAGAAACAATAGCGTAACTCAAGTGGAATTTAGGTAATTTGTAAGCATTCCTACTGATTAAGTATACTCATAATCTCCAACTCGAAAAGCGATAACCCGTAGAGAAGATACTTCTACTAATCCATTAAATGAGAGCCTCATGATCTATATATTTGAACAATTTCGTAAACTTGTGACAATGTGTAAGTGACTATACACCTCAATTCTAGTTAACTTTGTTAAACAGTCAACAATGAGACAGTATCACCACCCTATCACAGACTGGACCGAATAGATCGATCTCTATGAGCATATAGGCTCCTGCCCAGATGCTTCGAGATTGCCTGTATTTCAACCTCGACATTATTGATCGATAAAGGCTAGCAGTGAAGTCCAGGATGAGCGTTTCATCCTGCTTCAGACTCATCAGCTGGATGTACCTAACTACCAGTGATTGATGTTATCTCCAGTAAGACTCTCACATATCAGTTGACAACTATCATAATAGTCTGAATTCATTTTATCAATAAGTGAAATGGTCTAGCAGTCAGAATACACTATGGACAGTATGTATACTGATTGTCAGTGATCCACAATTAACTGATTGTTAACACTAAGTTCATACAAGTCCAATATTATAGTAAGTGAGTAGCCAGTTTATAATAACTTCAAATGTACCCTGTTTCTATTAAGAACTAACAAACAAAAATGTCCAAAGAAATGGATGAGAATTTCTGTTTCTCTTTCTCTCTCTCATATACACAAAGACCCAAATTTGCTAGCTAGACAAGCAGCACATCGTTGAAATTAGCAGTAGGTTACTTCATAAAAAATGCTATCGATCTTCACTAAGAACTTCTTAACCACAAACTTGGCAGCTCCAATAGTATAATAATTAGGATTTATACATCCTAGTTCTTCAACGGTGCCTCGGATAACAACAGAGAGTGTAGTGGTTAAGTGTGGGAAATGCGATAAACCTCGCTGGCTACCTCAGTGGATCATGAAATCTCTGCATAAACACAAAACGCCTGGGCTCGCTCCTACCAAATTACACCACCTGTAGCGCCACCATCATATCACATCGTCTATTAAGTATCGCAAATACCACACACAAGTCCCCTATCTTCCACTCCATCGCTGTTAAACACGCCCATCAAAGGTCGAAGACATGAGAAGGTTGGCTTCAGGTGTTTGACCACCATTGCCTTCAAAGTATACACCGTATTCTGTGGCATCACCACGTGAGTAACACAGAAGTCAGGTATAGAGTTTTACGGAGAACAGGTAAGTCAGTTGACACAGTTGTGAACCTTCATCCACTGAGATGGTTAACTCCAACATGTGCTACATATGCCCAACCACCATCTGCCTCGTCACACAATGTTGGCATAAGTAGGTTCAAGCTGGAAAAACGCTCGAGGCACAAGGACACACTAAAACATGACATCAATGTATGAAATCTTTCATTGTTGGTTTGAGCCATGTGGAGCGATACAGATTACCCGCTTCCCGTACGCGGGACAGGAGGAACCAGTGGTTCGAGATTCTAAGTGATGACATGGTTGAGAACCGATGTCAGTGGAATTGATGTATACACACATTATCCTCATCTCAACGACGCTATACAGAATCTCACCATTCTCTTACTCTTCATTTCTATCTTTTCGAAATTCAGATTTCTCTTAACTGAATTTTCTCTTCTTCATCTTCTACTTCACTGTCTTTTTACTTGATGTAATGATATGAGCTGTGGCAACTCAGACTGTTACGTAGTAATGCCTGGTCCTAGGTTGATTTGGATGGATGGACATCCTAGCTGTATTACAAAATATCTACAACTACAGTTGACCGCTGTCTAAAGATTATTTCCACAATTCTATGTGACAATATGAATTTGTATTGTGTGCGTACATAGATAAATTAACTACCAGATGATAGTCAATGTAATCTCCAACTCTTAAGAATTTATCGAAGTTCAATGTTCAGTTTCTTGACATGACCACCAAGCTAACCAATGAGATATTGTAATGCAGACTGATTGTAAAGGCCATCCAAGCAATTAGGGAAATATATAACAAAGTTTATTATATAGTTGATGGATAAACAGCTTTCTCATGAGATAAAGAAATCTCATTGACTGTTATAGCAGCTCTTAGGGTGGCCTTTATGGTCACTCTATAGTGCATATTTCTTGCATTAAATATTGAAGTTAATCAGTAAAAATCCTTGGATTTAGTTTTTGTGCATACTAGTATCTGCAGAGGATCTGATACGCCAGATGAAGCCGTTTATAGATGAGTCAAAATGGCTTAATTTGATGCCGAAAAGTAATAACCCCATTAGAAACTATGGTACTATTATGATTCAAAAGGTAAGTTATCTCATAAAGAGATTTTAGAAACACTCCGACTTACGAGTTGTCTAAATATTTAGTAATGGTACCAGGCCTAACCAGAAATCACTCAAAATCTCGACTTACTAACCCATATGACCTGAAGTATAGATTAGATGATATACGAGTCGATAACAGTGAAAAAATGGTTAGGTTTGACATAACTAACCTTTACCGATCGACATGGCTCTAGAGACACTCAAAAATGGGCTTAAGGATGACACTAGGACTACGCATCGAACTAAGGTGCAGATCAAGGAAATCATGCTAGGAGTACGATTGAGCTTGACAATCTACACTTTTTAAGTTTCAAAATAAAATATGTTAAAAAAAAACTGAAGGGGTTGCCGTGGGATCACCAACATCCCCAATCATGGCAGATATATTTGTTTGTGGATAGATGTGAACGGGTGGCCCTTCAAATATGTTGTGTTACTCCAAAGACATGGTCCCGATGTGTAGATGATACATTCACATCACGGAAATTGGAACACATCAATTGGTTCTTGACACAAATAGATTCAGTAGTGAATCCAATCCAATTTACCTGTGACTAAGAAAGTGATGAAGGTGAGCTAGTAATGTTGGATTTCAAAATTAAACAAAAACAAGATGTGAGTTTAGAAACTAGGGTCAACAGGAAACCTTCCCGTTCGAATCATTACTCAGACTTTAAATCCTCCCACCACCCCATTTTAGTTAAAGTAGGCCTAGTTAAATGTCTGTGATAGGGCGAAAAAGCTTACTAGCAGACCAGAAAATCTACAACAAGAAATTAAACCCATCAAGAATACCTTGCGTTCACATAATTACCCACCAAAATTTATAAATAACTTCATCAGAAATCGAAAGAAAAATATGAGCAGCAGTAGTAGCAATACAGGTTTCATTAATAACAATCCTACTAAGATGGTAATAATGGTCACAGTTAAGAGAGAATTCAAGGCCTCTGCTGTGTTACCATGCAGAGAAGGCACCTCAGAAGCATTACGAAGAATTATCAATAAGGCTAGGATTAAAGTGGCATTTAAATCAACAAACTTGTTAAGAAACAAGCTTTGTAGGTTAAAAGATCCTATCGATGCAATTGAGCAAAATAATCTGGTTTATCAACCGGGGTCAAATACATAGGTCAAAGTAATCGACCAATTAGATCAACTAGAATAACAGAGCACAAAAACTCAGCTAAATCAAGATTACGCGACCCTAATGTGATAAAAATTAAGAGAGAAGCTCGGCTATAGCCAAGCATGCAGTTGAGCACAATCACAGTAGGGTGGGGGATACAGTAACAGTCTTCAAAACTTATTTGGATGGAGGGAGAAATCGATAACCAAATCTTTGTTTATTGAGTCAACACCAAATACATGCAGCAGAAATGATTCTCCACCTATCTCAGAAATGTCAAAAAGTCTACCACCCTTGTTATCACAAACGAGAGAAAATTAGGAGTATGTAAACTCTTAATGATAGATGGTGGCTAGCAGTGGAATCCAGTACGTGCGTTCCGTCCTATTTGGGACTCGTCAGCTGCATGAACCTGCCTCCCAGTAAGTGTTGTTCCCGCCAGGACTCGAATTCGGGACCGATCGCTTAAAATGTCAGAGCGTCACTCACTAGACAACCGAGCCACGATAGCCACTTCTTCTGCGAGGGGCATAGGTTTGTTGTTGCTTGTAATATAAGCTCTGTTTCAAAGTTGTGAAGTTACTTGATATGACTATGGGCAATATATTGTGTTCGATAGGCGCTATCAAGTAAATGATACTGTTTCTTCACTGTGTGACATTTTTAATAAACAAACTAAAATGAAAGTAAGCAAAACAGTTAACATACTTGATGCAGTGCAGATCCCAAGACAGGAATTAAGAATCCAGAATGAATAAAATGTAACAATTGATCACGTACATGTGGATGTGCAATCTAAAAGGTTTTAAAAGTAGAAGTCTATTCATACAATTCAAAACCTCATATTATTTTAAAATATAAATTATTCATTTACTGAAAGATAAGATCAGCAAAGGTTATTTCTGAATGCATGAAATAATAAGTAAGATTAGTAAACTTTATCACTATCAACTTGACGAACGGACACACTCATATTATTATTATTTATTATTAATCCCTTGGGTTCCTAATGGAACATAGGGCATCAGTAGCACGTCTCCAGTGAACTCTGTTCTCTGAAATCTTTTGAGCCTGGCTCCACGACAACCCACAAGCTCTCATTTCCTCCTCGCACGATCTCCTCCATGTCACCCTCACCACGGACACCCAACTCGTCGCTTCCAATCGGGGTTCCACTCTACGGCCTGGCCTGCTGCGTGATGTCCCCGAACGGTCTTCTCAGTGTATGCCTAATCCATCTCCACTTTTTTCCAATGCATATTTGTTGGGTGATAGGTTCTTGGTTAGTTCATTCCCAGAGTTCCTTGTTGCGTATTCTTTCTAGCCATCTGATCTTCAGTAGCGAGCGTAAGCAGTTGTTGATGAATGTGTGTAGTTTATTGGAAATCCCTTTCGTAACGCACCAAGTCTCTCAACCATACAGGAGCACTGACTTGACATTGGTGTTGAAAATCCGGATCTTGTTCCATATGCTGAGTGCAGAAGATCTCGGACACACTCATATACATACGGAGAAATATATCAATATACAGTCTCTATATTCTCTTTATCAAAAGTAAACAATGTCAAGATGTTTGAATTAGAACTGATCAACTAGAAGGTTCGGATAAAAGTTCAACCAAATGGTTATCTTATGAAAACATCAAATTTTGGTGTTTCATCAATACTGACGAACTCAATCGTTCGATTGAATAGTTAATTAAGAGATCACGTGAATAGTAACAATCTCCTTTACCTTGAACCGTAATTCAAGTTAGGTTGATGAGTAAAATAATAATAATAATAAGATAGTAATCCAGGTTTGTACATTGGACTTTGCCCTACACCCATTGTATAACAACTAATAGAATCACTTCATGAGTGAAGTGGAGTTCGAATCTACGATACACTAATTGAAACTTCAATCCCGTGCAAGCGAAACATAACTGTGATTTAATATATAGAGATAAATCATCTTTTCAGTCAATAACCAGTCAATCTGAACTGTGGCTATCAGTAAAGCCATGTTTATAAACATTAGTCTTGTTAACAGGAGGTTTAAGTGATCCAGAACAACTGTTTGTTCGTACTTATCTTTGCATCTTTAGTGCAATAAGTCCACATTTAAAAAGGTGAAGACTTTCCACAAATCATTAACAGTCGTCTTATGACAGATGACAAGGGTGTATTATTGCGGAGTGAAGTGTACAAATCTTTTGAAGCGACCGGTCCTAAGTTCGAGTCTGGGTGAGAACAAAATCACTGGGAGGCAGGCACATCCAGCTGATGAGTCTCAAATAGGATGAAACGTGCATCCTAGATTCCACTGCTAGCCACTATGCATCATTAAAACTAAATAAGGACGTTAGGAAATTTTTTCAAGTGAATATAATCATACTATGTGTCCGTTTTCGGTTAGCTGGTAATCCACAAGTACTTTGAAATAATCTGAATAGTAGAACAATGAAAACACAGTTCATCGATTTTGTCACGAATCCTGACAGTTGAAATGGATTACCCATCTAATCAATATCAACAAGGGATTTGATAACACTTCATGACAGTTTGAGTTGCATATAAAGGTAGAAGGCAGAAAGATGAAACAGACAAATCAAGGAAGAAAGTAATCAAAGTTGGTAGAAAGTCATATTACGAAAGGAAGAAGGAATAAGACCATAAGGAAATTCGGTATGATGATTACGATGAAAACCGTACACCTATGCATCCTCACCAGTGGAGGTAATTCTCAGCTATATTACCTATGTTATGTAAACACTGATTTCGGTTGTCGCAAAAATTCTGACAGGGAAATCTACATTTTCCTAAGGGCACAAACTAACAGTCAAAGACTTGATACACTGGTGTCACGGCCTAGTTTGACGACCTTAGATCTTTCTCTAACCTAAACCTATTTCATATAACACTACGCAACAGGCTAATAGTGGACAGATATGCGTAACGTATGAGTCGATGAATGGTTACAACCTCATTAACCGGCTTTCTTCTCTGCACAAAAACCCTACATATGACTTTTACTTTACGAATATGATGGTTTCATGATACATAGCTTATGCTATGAGGTCAACTTCGGTCAAACATGGGAACCTGTTTCAACTCCTCCACCTTTATTAGCTATGATTTGCAGGCATGTGAAGGAACAGAGTAAACTTCTACGCAATTCACTTGACTCTTAGTAATCAACTGGATATCCCGCTGTAGGTTGGTCAAAGCCAATTCAGCCTTTAGTATCCGTATCGAGATTACATCACGCCTGATCTGGCTTCCAAAAAAAATAAGTCAATGCACTCACCCACTTCTCCGAGCTGAGTTATTTATTCGTGAAGCTTTCATCGTCTTCTAGATGACATCATCAGCACTAACTTCAGTATGAAGTGAGTGAGCTATCAATATCTCTCCGTGAATGATTTAGTAGCTTGCCCTGAAAAACTAGTTTGTGATTGCTTGTTTCCTTTGATTGTTGTATCATTGACTGTACAAATTTTCCTGTTGACTGTTCCTCTGCTTCACCTCTCACCTTTCTGTCGTTTATCATTCTCCTCATTGGTTGATAGATTGGGTCTATGTCTATACATCTCTCCATTGATTGCTGACTGACTGACCTGAATGCTAAGCCCCTATGAATTCTCTGATATTCCTTGAGTTTCTTCTGTCCAAGATTTCTACATTGTCAAAATTGAATTCATGTCCATAGTGTTACCCATGTGTATTGAAATGAGTGATGAAAAGTCGTGACGTCTAACAGCCAATTAGTGTTCAGGTAGACGAAGGCGAAGATGGTGACCCCTTTGTCGAATGTAGTGTTGACTACAGTTATTGCAGTTGATTTTGTAAATGATATTCGGTTTGTCTTTTTAGCTGTTGCGTCCTTTCCTTTGGTCTGCATAATAGGGTTTGGAGGGTTTGTCAGATGTTTAACTTTATCTACTGATAAACTGATACTAATATTCACCTTGGTGGCTAGCAATAGGATTCAGAATGCGTGTTTCATCTTACCTGAGACTCATCGGCTGGGTACACCTCCCCACCTCAGTGAGCGTTGTTCCCACTGCAACTAAAACCCATTATCCATCGCTTCTAATGCCAAAGGTAATACAAGGAACAAGGAAGAAAAATCATCCGGAAAAAGCTGCTCAAAATTTCAGAAGCACTTACAACCAAGAAAACAAACGACTGTGTCTACGATGAATAACAACTTGAAATAATTCCAAATCTCCACAACTCCCTCAAAATTTAATTAAACTGGTGCTCATTGGTGACTAGTTTCGAGAAGTATTCCCGAAGTTCCAATGACAAGTCGTGACCGGTGGAGTCAAAGCCTGATGGCCATGAGGACAAATACTCAACGATGACATTGGGTGGTGGTTGCACTATATATCGTGAGCTAACAGAAGTTGGAAATATGGAGCATTGGATCCCGCCGACCCAGTGGCTCAATGGTAACGCGCTGGCCACGGAACCTGAAGGTCGCGGGTTCGATCCCTGCTGGTGGGGTCGTGGGTGCGCACTGCTGAGGAGTCCCATACTAGGACGAAACAGTTGGCTGTCCAGTGCTCCCAGGTTTCCTTTGTTCCTCCAACTGATGTCAGCCTACGATGAATAACAACTTGAAATAATTCCAAATCTCCACAACTCCCTCAAAATTTAAGACTGTGTTGCCAACTTATTAAAACAGGCATTGACAAAAATGGAAGAACTTCTTCTTCGGAAAGGATTGAAACACAAGACAAGAGATGCCTCCAAACCAGAAATTGGGACCGCGGCCGGTCACACCTTGATCATAGTTCATATAAAGTTACCGAAGCTTAATACAGAAACATACCACCCAAAAATTAAAGCCAATGGTGACTAGAATAATTGAACACTTTCATACAACAAGACGATATATTAACTGTTGAAGCACCTTCAATATTCAGTCTCACTATAAGTTATCATTTAAGTGGATGAGAAGCTGTTCAGTCTTACTCATTAGTGGTTTACTGACAGTTTTGACTTTAAAGATGGAATGTTAAATAATTTATTACAACTAGTCTGATCCCGATGTTTTCACTGTTCTCAGACCAAGATACATAGTAGTTGACTTTCAGCATCACTTTAAATGATTCGTAAGACTGTGGTTCCTTGGAACCCACTCCATCTAACTAGATTTGAGTAACTAGATGACAACATAAACCTTACACAACAGATATGCTTCACTATCAAGTATACGGACATATGAGTGCTTCTTAGATTGTATTATTAAATCAATTGGTAAAAGGTGTAGTATTTTATACGATGAACAAATTCGGGCTCTGTACAAAATTCTCAGTTTTTCAAAGGTGATAGTCATTGAAATCGAATTTTGATCATTCCAACGTTATTCGATAATGCTAATACTGCCAATCAAGTGTTCACTTGAGATCAGTTGTTGTGTTTCGCTGGTCAAAGTAATCAACTTCCAACCAATGGAGTCATGGGTTCAAACCCACCTCTACCTAAAGTTTAGGAAGCCAAATAGCAGTATCACTAGGCTTCGAGCAATAGGTGTGGCTCATCACCTCCGACGTTAACGTCCAAGAAGCCGCTGAATATATTTCGATTTCCATTTGATTCACTTCACTTTCCTGAGAAGTCATACTGAAAAGTGTTTAACACTATCCACCATCAATTAACTAATTTTACAGCTGTTTTATTCAGAGATCTCATTCACTGATACCTAGATTATCGCATACCTCACTCGAAAAGCCTAAATAAACCCTCTACACAGCCTTAAACAATAGCCAATTCAAGCACATACTAGTATTACGTTCTAATCTGATCATCATGAGGTTTGTTCAACCTAATCCTCCTCAAACCGTCACTTCACTTTAGTCAATGTACACTTAAAACATGATCTCTTTCACTTACTTTTGCTGACTAGTAGTTCCATCGTACAGAAGGATGTGTTCTTGGGAAACCTATGATTGAGTACTTACAGCCGTTTTGTATCATTCACTATCAATATATTAGCATAGTTAGACAATTAAAAGTTAAATGAACAAATGTACAAGCTGAGAAGAAAACAACCATCTCTTACTTTAACAGTTAAATTACAAAAATCTAGTGTATGCAAAAATCGTCTTAGATCAATTGAATTGGAGCATTCTCTTTCTGTTAACTGATGCCATTCAGCGCCACCGACTTGTAACTCCAAAAGACAAGGATACCGTAAGTCAGATTGGATAAAGACAGGTGTAGTCACTGAAACTGGACCTCCAGGAGATTCATATGAATAACCATTGCCGGCATTATCATTAGTAGTAGTATTACTATGACATATTGAATAACGTGGGACTAATTTCTTTGGTAAACTAGAATAAAGACCACTGAGACCAGCAGCTAAAACCTGGGACACCAGGAAAGAGAAAGCAAACCAAAGTATACATCACTGAGGAGATCCATATGATATTACAAATTGTGAACAAAAGACATTCAGATATTGACAAAAATATTCGTGAAGAAAGCAAATCGATCTTATAACTGAGCAAAAGAATCTAGGATGCCCGTTTCGTTCTATTTAGGACTCGTTAGACGGATGTATCTTCATCCTAATGAGCGATGTCGTTCCCCCTGGGATTCGAACCTAGCGCTCATCGTTTTTTAGACAACAACAATAATAACTCATTTAGGTACTTTACGTAGAATCAACTGTTTTTAAGTTTAACGGATTTAGTATTGTTAAAACAGCAATAGTGTCATCTAAGTACGTATAGTTTTAGGTGAAAAGGCGTGGAAAATATTGGTGATCCTATGGCAGACATATTTATGCGAAGTTGAGAAAGGATAACCCTTGAAATACTTAAACCTGCTTCAAAAATATGGTTTACATGTGTAGCTGAGACATTTACAGTGCTGAAATCGGAGCACATAAATAGGTTTTCTACACACATAACTTCAGCAGTGAACTCAATTCAATTTACCTATGAATTAGAAAGTGATGAAGGAGAGTTACCCATATCAGACTTCTGGATAAAAAGAAAACAAAATGGGAATTTCGAAACCAGTGTCTAAAAGGCAACCTTTTAACTCAAATCGTTACAGAGAGTTAAAATCATCTCACCCTATGTCAGTTAATGTCGGCTCAGTTAAATGTCTAGGTAACATCATAAGAAATTAGACATACCAAGAATACTTTACGTTTTAATAATTAACCACAGAAAATTGTCAGTAAAATATGAATAGCGGCGGTCACACAGGTGTTAGTAATAGTAATAAGTGCAATACAACCGCGTGTACTGTATTTTTCTGGGGGTTATCTCCGGATTACTGTCATAAAGTTATTGATGTCAGTATTAAAAGAAGTCAGTGCAACAACAGTGAACAATGAATCCGATCTGTTGACGTCACATGTCGTCACTGTAGACATACATGAACAGCCGCCACCTACACACACTCGATACTGAAAATGGAGATCAGATGACCAGAATAATAAGAATAAGGAACAAGAAACTCTGGCTGACTGGCAACGAACCAACCAAGAATCCATCTCCCAACAAATATGTAGTAGAAGAAAGTGGAGATGGATTGGATTGGATTGGACTGGACTGGACTGGACATACATTGAGAAGACCACTTGGAGACATGAGGGGTCAGGTCAGGTCAGGCCAGGTGGGACCATTGAGTGGAACCGAAATGCAAAACGATGAGTTGGGCGTCCCAGCTGAGGATGACATGGGGAAGATGGTGTGATGAAGAAATGAAAGCTTGTGGGCAGTGGTGGGGCGAGGTTAAAGGAAAAGACTATAGAGAAGAGAGTGAAATGGTGACGTGCTAGTGAAGCCCCATGTTCCAGCAGGAACCCAAAAGACAAATAATAACATAATATAACAATACTGGGTGATGATTGAAGGTGAAATGAAAATGCGAACCACGACCGGATTCGAACCAGCGACCATCGGGTTACCAGCCTGATGCTCTATCAACTGAGCTACGAGTAAACATTTTCAACCCACCAGGGACAATATTTTGGTACACAGGCACGCTTACCGACGCCCAACAATAGCTGTATTTCTCGACCTGAAAGCAACATTCGACTCCGTTGATCGAGAAGTCTTATGGCAATGTCTCTCACTGAAAGGCGTGACGAGTAAGTACATCACCTTATTGAAGGCTCTCTACTCGAACACTTGTGGGTGTGCTAGAACTTATGGTGAGATGTCCTGGGAGCTATACTCGTCCAACGGTGTCCGTCAAGGCTGCACACTGTCTCCATTCTTACTAAATTTTATCACAGATATTCTTATTGAGGTCCCCCTCTCGTCACCTAACTTAACAGAGGTTGACCTAATCACTGGAGAAATGTTGGTTGACCTAGAGTACGGTGATGACTAGTCCTGTCAGGTGAAGACGCTGACAAGATGCAGAGTCTTCTGGACATTTCGAGTGACAATTTGAAAATGTTTGAAATGCGATCATCACCACCTGAATGCGAATTGTTGCTCCGGAATTGCTCTTCAACGGTGCCTTGGATAACAATAGAAAGTGTAGTGGTTAAGTGTGGGAAATGCGATAAACCTCGCTGGCTACCTCAGTGGATCATGAAATCTCTGCATAAACACAAAACGCCTGGGCTCGCTCCTACCAAATTACACCACCTGTAGCGCCACCATCATATCACATCGTCTATTAAGTATCGCCACTACCACACACAAGTCTGCTATCTTCCACTCCATCGCTGTTAAACATGCCCATCAAAGGTCGAAGACATGAGAAGGTTGGCTTCAGGTGTTCGACCACCATTGCCTTCAAAGTATACACCATATTCTGTGGCATCACCACGTGAGTAACACAGAAGTCAGGTATAGAGTTTTACAGAGAACAGGTAAGTCAGTTGACACAGTTGTGAACCTTCATCCACTGAGATGGTTAACTCCAACATGTGCTACATATGCCCAACCACCATCTGCCTCGTCACACAATGTTGACATAAGTAGGTTCAAGCTGGAAAAACGCTCGAGGCACGAGGACACACTAAAACATGACATCAATGTATGAAATCTTTCATTGTTGGTTTGAACCATGTGGAGCGATACAGATTACTCGGTTCCCGTACGCGGGACAGGAGGAACCAGTGGTTCGAGATTCTAAGTGATGACATGGTTGAGAACCGATGTCAGTGGAATTGATGTATACACACATTATCCTCATCTTAATGACGCTATACAGAATCTCACCATTTCTTACTCTTCATCTCTATCTTTTCGAAATTCAGATTTCTCTTAATTGAATTTTCTCTTCTTCATCTTCTACTTCACTGTCTTTTTACTTGATGTAATGATATGAGCTGTGGCAACTCAGACTGTCACGTAGTAATGCCTGGTCCTAGGTTGATTTTTATGATGATGATGACCAAGGATAATATATATTTCTTAACTTCAGAACTGTAAACATGGTGTCGACCCTAGACGAAATCAATCCGACGGAGATAAAGATAGTCGAACAGAATATTGTTTAGTATCCTCCAGTTTAAAGAAGTTATATTTCATAGGAATTGACCAAAACTATCTACACATAAAATGATGTCGACTGATGTATTTCCATATATATTTTGTTATATAGTATGAAATTTTATATATTGCTCTCATCTCAATTATCGAAATAGACGAATGATTCGACAACATTAAATTATTAACCGCCAAATTTAACAGTAAAGGTAACACTCCCTCTCTTCAGCTAATCTTATTAAATTAGCTACCATTTGAATGATGCAAAGCAAATATCATTTATTACGGGTATATACATGCGATAGAGCACTTTTGGAAAACAATAAGAGAACAATAATGATTTTAGTATTGAATATACCTCTCTCTGTTGTTTAAAACTAGTACTAACGTTATACAGAGTTGCCGGATTTCTTCATTAACTTGATTATTAGTGACATTCATAAGACAACTGTGAAGGAGGTGCTAACAGGTAGAAGACTTTAAGTATACCAGTAATCATCAGTTTCTGTAAGCATGAATTGACCTTCACACTAACTCAGAGAAAAGTTTTTTTATAAGGTTGGCCTGTATTTGCATTTAATGCTTAGGGGCGAACTGTTGGATTTAATCGAAAAGTTTATGATTGGGAATAGTTGTATGAATGCTGGTGAATATGTGATAGATATGATTTCTAATCATATACCGAAAGTTAAGATGGAACACAAAAATTTGGGTCATCTTTGCTGCCACAGGCCTATTTTTTACCAAGTTTTGGTGCTGGTAGTTCTACTACACGTATGTGAAACTCATCCTCTTTGAATCCAGAATTTTTAACAATTCTTTGGGTTCGAATACTGTTGTCTTTGAAGGGTTACTCAACTCTTGTGAAAACACTGCGCAATTAATTCTGATAAGTGGGGGGGCGTGTTTGGATAACCTGGAGACAATAAACTACGTGTAGTCACTATGAAACATCGATTTCGTGACTTGCATACTGTTCACTGTTTTCCAACTACAAAAACGGTCAAAAGAAACAAAGGTAATCAGTTTAAGAAATGGTGACATAGAACGAAGGATAGTTGGATTGAGCTAACACATCTGCTAATACTTTAAGACTCCGCAGATGGTGTCGGAGAGTTTATGTAACTACCAGACATGGCCTAGTATCAAAACCAGTGGTGGCCATGCTGCCGATTTCTTTCTATGTGTTTTAACTGTTGCTTTATCAAGTTTGTAGCTTTAATAAATGAAAAATAAAATCAGCGTATAACGCCGCGCAGAAATGCATCAGTCCAAGTCACTAACCACTTTATAGCAGCATGCAATGAACAATGCAATAAAACTGTATAAAGGAAGAAGGAATGAAAAAAATAAAGGTTAGTGAAAATGTTCAGACTTTCGAAGATGTCAGACAATGAAAATATCAGCTCGGTTGTGACCGATTTTCAGTCATGTTACTAAGAGTTTCTAACCGTTAACTTTTATCCTCTCCAACGCCCTAGCCAAACACTTTACATATTCATACACGGTGAAGACCAATAGTCAGAGACTTCATGAACTAGTTCCAGTCTTAATCTAACCACATTCATTTCTTGTATTGATTGGTCACTGGAGAACAACTAGTTTGGTGTTGTCTAGTCCTAAGTGCAGATCTACTCCTATCGATTATATTTGCAATGTGGCCACCAAACTAGGAGGCTCAGCATCGCGGTGATCAACGTAAAACTGGTTGTTCTCCGGTAACCAATCAATTTATGTAACGCAGTTCTACAGGATGTTAATCGTGGCCCAAATAGCTCAGTGGTAAGGTCGCCAACTGCAACACTGGGTGACACAGGTTCGAATCTCGGGTGGGATATCAGTTCCATAGACGTTGCAGATACGCCCTGCTGACGACTGCTAACGAGCCCGAAACCTAGGTCCATGGCCTCCTGCCGATTGCCTTCAACCAACTAACACATTCGTTCCTTGTCCAACCCGACATTGCAGGTCAAGGAAGTAATGGCTCGATATGCACGACACATGTAGAAGCCACCTCTGTTGATGAAGGTTTACAATCTCATCAATTGACTTACTGTCCTTCCCTAATACTCTTCACCTAATCTTGACATTGCTATGACGGTAATCCTATCAAATGTAAGCAATGCTTTAAAAACACGCGTGTTTCAATAAATGATCGACAGTGATTAGGTTAACATTTTTAAAGGTTTATGATTTTAACAACTTACCGGACAAATATCAGATTCATAGGCTAAATACTGACCAAGATTATCATCCTTTTTAGAAATTGCAAATATTAACAGAAAAGAATCTCTAGCTGCATCACCCAATGTATCATTACGATGAACCAAAGGGACAAGTAGTGAAAATATCATATACGATTGGTTGAATATTTCTTTACATAACTAAAAAAAAACAGACGATAACAATATTACGACCATAAGTAAATAATCATAGTTATTAAGGAAATAACAAATCGTTGACTACCCCACTTAAACTAAACTTCAGTCATGTACTAGGCTATCATTAATATCAGTCTGACGAAGGATTCGAACCAGTGACCTCCAAATTACCAGCTCAATGCTCTGTCAACTAAACCACGGAAGTTTTTAAATTAAGCACTTCCATTATACTATATATAGCACTTTCAATACTAACTGGATAAGCACTGAAAATCGGTGAGCTTCATTCTAATTTGGAATTCATTAGTAATCAGTTAATCCAGTGAGTATAGTACCATTCAATAAATGAGTTGATATCTAATAGTTTAATTTCTTTTTTTTTCTATCCAGTCAATTCGCGATATAGCACTGACATCATCCAGTGTCGTCAATGGGTATCCATCCATCCTCACTCACGACTTGATCGACCCTACAAATATGGACTTCTTATTATGGTTTAGAATCAAGTCATTAGCGAGATTAATTTAACTGTTAATTTTCAGAAATTGATCAAGTGAATAATTTCAAAACAATTTTTTTTATATCAAAGATTGATACCACCAGTTGGTAAAACTTGATGGTACAACTCAAGATTGTTCAATTAATGACCAGTACTGTTGAACATTGGAAAGTTAGTAACAGAACAGTAGTAATGCATAAGTGAAGTTAATTTGAAGTATGGTTATTATATGAATTCTATAGTGTATAATCAGTAAAATGTAAGATAGATAATCTGACGGTTATTGCTTTTACATTTGATCATGATTCCACTTTTGTTTTAGTCATCAGCCTCTTAAAATACCTGAATTGACTATGAAATAAGTAACTTGTGTTGTTTATTAAGTTTACTAGTGGATGAAATTGTTAGGAATTTCTTATTTTAAAGAGAAAAAAAATTGATCACTATTATTTACTACAAAATTATCAATGATTCTTGGTGTAAAAAAAGGGGGGATGAATAACAGTTTAGTAGAACAATTGTGAAACTCCAGGTGTTCCACCTAATACACATTTCATATTTGTTCTGTAGTATTTCCATTATTGTACACATCAGTAACAATCATCGAGTATTTCAATTGTTTTAAACAGATGACTTTTTTGTGAACTAAAGAAAAATTTATCATTAATCAGTAATTGTATTAAATAGTCCTGAAAGAAGAGGCGTTTTGTTACATATTCAAATTCATTTTCTTTAAAGTTATATAAATGTGAAAATGATTGTGATCGTATGAATGTAGGAAATAACCTTATAAAGCTCTATTCTTTTCTCTTTCTGCCTTTCTGCCTTGGGTTCCTAGTGGGACATAGGACTTCAGTAGCACGCCTCCATTATACTCTGTTCTCTGAAGTCTTTTGAACTTCACACCACCTCTACAAGATGCACTTTCAAGGTAACTGGTTTCAAGCTGTACTGTTCATTACTGGATATGACCTATGTTATACATATATATGGAGGCTTGAATCATAGCCACTGGATTCCACCCCCTGTTGGTCGCTCAGTTTTCTCCATAGATAGATAAGGCAGTAATATATATATATATATATATATATATATATATATATATATAATACAATGGTTTATAAGTATTTGTATTGGTTCTGACTATTTCTAGGCCTTTCTAGATTATTTCAAGTTGGTAGACTGACATCAGTTGGAGGAACAATGGAAAACTGGGAGAAGTGGACAGCTGTTTTGTCTTAGTATGAGACCCTTCAGCAGTGCGCACCCATGACCTTCAGGTCTCGTGGCCAACACATTACCATTGAGTCACTGGGTCAGAATCTAATAGTCCATATTTTAAACTTCTGTCAATTAACAACATAGTGCAACCGCCATCTAATGTCATCGTTGAGTATTTGTCCTCATAGTCACCAGGTTCTAAGATTAGAATCTCCAAACTGATTTTTATCAATTCAACCAATCTGCTATTTACACATTGGTTCACATGCTGCTTCTTCAAAGTTTGAAACAAACAATCACTTGTGAAAGGAAGAACTAAGTATGAAGAGATTTTAGCATAAACGACAATAACAACAACAACAAAGATACAGATGAAGATATAATTCAGTAGACAAACAATAGACTGATAAAGCTTTTCCGAAAAATAATAACATAATACATGTCTACACTAATCGAACCGAAACGAATCGAACTATATCCATATCGATAACGCGTTGATGTATAACACTTTGAGAGGTGAATCGAAAGAGTCTACACTACCTTGCACAATTTAAACAAACAATCAGTTGTGAGATTTTTCATGAAATGCTGTCACATTTTGATCTGAGCATAAAAAACTTGTAATGCATTCACAAATATTCTCAATCACTATAAAAAAAAATACCTAAGTAGAAAAACCAACTTTTAAAAGCAATTCTAGAGATTTTCATGTGATGATAACCGAAATAAAAAAGAGGATATTGCATGACCTGTAACCTAGTGAACATAAGTGGATGGCTTACATCGACAAACTACATTCATTACCAGATATTATTGATGCACAGTAGCTAGCAGTGGAATTCGGGATGAGCATTCCGTCCTATTCGGGACTCGTCAGCTGGATGTACCTGCATCCCAGTGAGCGATGTTGTTCCCACCGGGGCTCGAACTCGGGACCAGGAGCTTCAAACGTCAGAGCGTTATCCACTAGACCATCAAGCCACGATAGCCACTTCTTGTGCAACGGGTATAGCTTTAGTATTATTGCTCGTATAATACCGTCATTGACTGGACCGAATTGATTGGTTTCTATTGGCATATAGGCATCCTGGATTCCACTGCTAGCCCCTATCCATCATTACTATAATTAAAACACCGGTAATATTGAGGCATCCGTACAAGAGCCCATACGCCAATAGAGACCGATCAATTTGGTCCAATCAACGGCGGTATAATACAAGCAACAATATTACCAGATATTGTTTAGAAATATAGTTATGGCGTAGGAGCTCTTACTGAAGCTTATGCTGCTGGTCGAATGAACACAAGAGAAGGAATTTATCAAGTGGTATTCAAAGATGAAAATGTCAGTAATGCTGAAAATAATAGTGACTCCCATCCCACTATGACTTATTAGACAAACGTCTACTGTAAAAGTTTAGGTCCATCTTACGAACTGGCTTAAGTATTCTCAGGTGTCATTTATAGCTGAAGTTTTCCTTAGACCTACACCAGGATATCTAATTTCAGCATCAAAAGAAAAGACGCACAAGTAAAGTAGGAATTAATTATCAGTATTATTATTATTATTATTATATATATTATTTGTCCCTTGGGTTCCTAATGGAACATAGGGCTTCAGTAGCACATCTCCACTCCACTCTGTTCTCTGCAAACTTTTGAACCTGGTTTCATGACAGCCCACTAGCTCTCATTTCTTCCTCGCACCATCTCCTCAACGTCACCCCCAGCTGGGACGCCCGACTCGTTGCTTCCCATCTGGGTCCCAGTCGAGGGCCTGGTGCGCGATGTCCCCGAACCGTCTTCTCAGTGCATGCCCAATCCACCTTCACTTCCTTCTGCATATTTGTGGAGCGATAGGTTCTTGGTTAGTTCGTTCCAGAGTTCCTTGTTGCTTATTCTCTCCTACAATCTGATCTTCAGTAACGAGCCAGCGTAGGCAGTTGTTGATGAATGTCTGAAGTTTGTTGGAAATGCCTTTCGTAACGTGCCAAGTCTCTGAGCCATACAGAAGCACTAACTTGAAATTATCAGTATAGACAGTGTTAAATCATTCGATACTTTACTATGACATCCAAAACACCCGGATAACTAACTACAAATTTGGTGAGTGGAGTATGTCAGATAGAAACGATCAATATTTGAGGAAGATAAGTGATATGAAGGATTTTCGCAATAGTGATGATAATGAGTTCATTGTATATCTCACTGTAAGCAGCGATCATCTAATTTTATTCTACATTTAAAAACCTAATATAAAAACAAAAGTGTACAGAAGTGGAAAGTCTTCAAGTGAAGTGACCATATTGAAAAAGTGACCGGATAGAATTCAGTTGATTTCAAGTTGGTACTTAACATGGACTTACATTGGAAATATGGTAGCATTGGACAGGTGTTTCGACCTAGTATGCGACTCCTTAGCAATGCGCTCATATGACGCCAGCCTCAAGAGATCGAATCTAGGACCAGAGCATGAGATAGAGCGATCTCTATCCAATCCAGTCGTTGAAGGTTTGTGAGGACTTATTTGTTGAGTTCAGATTGATATTATTCAGTAGATAATTAAAAAACAGACGACATAACACTGTTACTCTCCAACCATTGTATTAAATCCCATTCTAGAAGAGGTCAATCACCAACTAAACAGCTCAGTAGTGAGTGATGGAGATCCAGATATCTAAGGAAGCTTCGGTTCCCTAGTGGTTGCTGACACGTGTTAACGATGAATGTCATTAAGTGCGAAACCAAGTTCCAAAACTTGCTGTTGTCTGCACTTAACGATCTAACTAACATCAAGACATCTATACGCGTCCCCTAGGTACATTGAAGTATGACCCACTGCGAATTGAATCAATGAGTAGCAAGTTCGAATACTCATCCACTTACTGATATTTAGGCACATTAAGATAAAATCATCATTAACTCTGATACAATATGTGCAGATTATAGCTCAGTTCAAAAAACTGTGTATGATTTCTCAGTTATATTAACACACTCAGGTGAAAAAATTTAGTGCCAACTGAGCACTAAATCAAATTTATGTTTCCAATAATAACTGAACATTTTTATAAAGAAATATTTCACTTCAACGACTTCAGTACAGTTGTATTTATATCTGGTATAAAGTGAGTGAGTATATTTAAGAAGCAGGGTGATAGCTGTAGAAAACACAATACATGAAGGAACACTAAAGAAAGAAAGTGATCTGAAGAGGTGGAAACATGGGTGAAGTGCTGTTATAAAACGATGAAATAAATAGACTAAAAATAAAGTATTGTTTTAC